CCAGCCCTGCTCCCAGCATGAGGCAGTCTGGCTGCACAAGGCTACGCTGCTCACTTGAGCTCCACACATCGGACGCTGCAAAATAAGTAGGAAGTGGACAATTTTTGGTACGAGAAATAGCAAAGATTTTATCAATCTTGCAACTTGATGGATTTCTATCAAACAGAAATGTTTGCTCAAGTTGTATCACCTAGAAGCATTAAGAACATGCTTTGAAACAATACTAATGACGATGTAGACACCGGTAGACACCGCAATTGTAAAGCTAAAATCCACCCCAAAATTGAGGTTTTGCTTTACGAAAAGCATGTACCACTGTTGTGTATTGATCTCTTAGAGCTGACAAAAACCCTTTTGAATTTTCAAGTTCAAAATAAAAACAACTAGTTTCCCAAAGAAGAAAATGCTACCTAGCAAATGCCAATACAAATGCAGTTAAAGTTAATTGGTATTTTAAAATACATTACACTTACAGTGCTGATAGAAATTTTTAAAGAAAATCGAAAGGGAAAAAGTGTTTATTTTTGCTATATTTAAGTTTTTTCTTAGTTTTCAGTTTTCTAATACTGAGTGCTTTTCTCTTCTTTTCTCATCTATTCCTCTCTTTTCTCCAAAAGATAAATACAAAATATAGGCTGCAATAAATGAAAATAATATCAGAATTGTAAATCCCTACTAATTTTAAATGGAAAAAGGTAAGCGGGGGGGGGGAAGTGAAATACTGCACCTTGTTACTGATTCTCTCATTTAGTCTATTTTTCAGATCCTGAAAAATATTTTAATGTATAAAACATAAATAAGGATATCCTCAGTTAAATCACACACAGTGTCTCGTGCATGAAGCGCCTTCCCTATATAAACGTATGCAAAGCTAGACTCAAATTTCACAGGCAGTCTCTGCAGAGAGTGAGCTGAACCGTGCCATTTGCAACTTTCTGCAAACATTTTGCAATGTTTGTGATATTTTATTTCTCCTGCTGAGATTCCTGGTGTTTCAGCAGGCCTCCTGGGGCGAGCACCGAGGGTCTGAGCAGGCGGCCGGGCCACGCGGTGCCACGGCGGGCAAGGTGGAACCGGCCATGGGGAGCCCAGAGCCATGACATTCCATGCCGGGATCAGCTCCGTGCCGGGATCAGCTCGAGCACGGCGCATCCCACACGGGGCGCAGCAAGGGCCGCCCCAGCCCTGGGGGCTCATCCCGCTGCTCCGGGCGGGCTCGGCCAAGGCGGTGTGAACTGGACTCGCACCGGAGTGGGACTTGTTTCGGAGCGGCTCCCGCGGAGGTGAGAGATTCACCGCGTCTCCTCCTGACGACATTCTGCCGCATAATTAGCTGAAAATTAATTACAGAATCTCGAAAAGAGCATAAACCAAAAGCGGGCCAGCATACCTTCGTGCTGCAGTTGCTCACTCTGAATCTCGTCCAATAATTTAAGTCTGGCATATGGCGCTGGAGTTTTAAAAAGAAAACAACAACAAACTCTGATCCCTGCTGAAGTTTGGGAGTCCTGCCTGCTGAAGAACACGGCGGCGGGCACACGCGTGCTTTCCAGAAACAAGGACCATGAATGAATTCAGCATTTGGCAACCTGAGCTTTGGAGAAATTACAGGTTGCCGCTGCTTCTCCCAAAATCAAAACAGAAAAAATGTGAAAGAAAATAATTAGGTAAATTATTTGCTGACTTGATGAATAATTCTCTGAGGAGTATTAGAGGATAAAAGCATGGGGAACAGTACAATGTTTCAACAAACAAAAGAAGGAGGTATGCCATAAATCTGCTACACTAATTTGGCTGAGCCTTCCTGAAAAGGTGTATTTTATATCACTGAATTATACATATTTTTGTAGAAGGTGCTTAAAGCATGTTATGCTGCTACACAGCAAAACACTTTTTTTTTTTTTTTTTTGGAAAAAAGGAATTAGCATGCTGAACATATCTGATCAAAACATGCCTTCGATAGAGTAAACAAAGGAATGAACATTTAAAAAAATGAGAAAGAGTAAGAAAAAAAGCAGTCTGGCAGGGGAAAAAAAAGTAGATTAATGAAAGTTTGTGAAAAATTTGCTGCAGGAAGCACGGCAACTCTTTTGATTTCCATTTTTCCACTAGAGAGATGAATATCTTCAGTTACAGTAGGCAGATGATAGCAAACTTGCACATTACAAAATGTTCTCTCTGTGCTTTATAAACGGTCCTACCGCAGTAACTTGCAGCTCGGCAGGAGCCCGAGGCCTTTCATTCTGCCCCGCACATGCAGGGGGAGGCAGAAGAGTCAAGTTCTCTTCTGACCCAGGGGAGACAGGACCTTGTTCTCCAAAGCAGTGTTTTTTTCTACATCAATTGGCAATTCCTTTTATGAAGTGAGGGAATAGATACCTCTAACTGTGCATAACTGGGGAAGAGGTGCACGGCCTCAGCAGCTTGCAGCACGCGGCAGCCCTGGGCCGTGCTGGTGAGCGACCCTCTGGCACTGCATCTACTGGCGTCCCCATGAGCCGAACGCACGGGCGCCTTTGGTGCAGTTTGCTTTCCGTGTTTGCCCGCTTCGAGGGTGCAAGGTAACTCTCATTTACTGCACAAAGAGCACAGCGCTGTGCAGTGTGACTCAGCTGCAGAGAACCACGCTGCAACCAGGATTTAAACTAAGTCGCACTTACAAAATCATTTTCCTCCAGAACTTTGCTCATCACAATGTCTAGCAAAATACTTGCACATTTTGCCTATAAGTACAAACTAGAAACAGACAAAAGTCTGGTTTTTTTCCTTTTTTTTTAAATTGGAGTAATATAAATTCTTGGCAATCTAAGCTGACCAGCAGGCATATATGAAGCTACAAGGAATGACATATAATCTACAACATATATGAATATACTCTGTACATTCAAGTTAATTATGTCAAAAATTTAATACTAAACTGTAGACATTTATGAGAACAGAAAATCCCTGTTGTCAAATCTTCATTAGCAGCTGTGCTCACCCTTGCCAGCCCCTTGCTCACGCTGCGCACTGCAATCCCCGCCGTTCTGCCCACGAGGCTCTGCTGGCCTCCTGCATCGGGGCCCTGTGCAGAACCCCCCACCTGGGAAGGAGGCTGGAAGGGCCCATGGGGCTGATGGCCTCAAGCCCCAGTGGTTCCCAGCAGCTCTGGGGCAGCTTGAGGGCTGAAAGGGACCAATTTGGCAGCCGGGGGGGCTCCCCCGACCTCTAATGCTGTCCCCATCTTGCAGCTTCACCCTGCGCTTTCAGCATCTTTTCTCCACTCAGAGGATGCAGAGCACCCACGTTCACGGCCTTTCCCCTGCTGTCTCGTCCACCCACGTGCTGCACGGAGCATTTGATGCCACTCTAGCTCCTTATGTGGCATTCAAAAAAATGTGAATTTTACTCTAGTTTCTCTATACAGAGAAAATCACCAGAATAACGAAATCGCCAAGCTCAAGTCCCTGTCAGCAGCACCTTGGAGAGGTGGACTCAGCCTCCCATGTCTCAGCCTCCCAACATCCAAATTTCTGCTCTAAAGGACTACCGAGCAGCACAGCAGCCTTACACTGGGCAAGCAGCAAGGCTGTGCACGTGGGCACGAGCAGGAGCCCATGCTGCGGGAGACCTGCCGGCGCTGTGCCGGGTGCCGCAGAGTTCCCACGGGCTGCTCGTGCCTGCTGCAAGCTTTCCAGCCACCCACGGAGAGCGGGGCCGCTTGCTCCACGCTCCGCTCCGCAGCACCCTGCTTTGGGATGAATGAGCTGCTGCAGCAGAGCTCTGCTCCACGACACAAGTCCCACGTTCTGCTTCCCTTGCTAGGTTCAGCAGTGTGGACCAGCACCAGGGACAAGGCTGCCAGACAGCAGCATTTGGCCCTGGTCTGGGAGGAGGCAGAAACAAGGGGCCCCTGATGAGCTGGGCAGCAACGCAGCATCTCAGATTCCGAGAGCAGCTCCAGGAGGCTGAGAGGGGGGAAAGGCTGGGCTACCCTCAGGTGAGGAAGGGTCTATTTGAGGATTTCGGCCAGGAGACAGGACAGGAAGAGAGGATTGGGTGAAGATAAAAACTATTAGGCAGAAGGCAGGAGCCAGGATTTTACATAACACGGTGTAACCTATGGAAGACAAGAAGATAAATGTGTCTGTAAAACTAAGCCAGCCCACTGGGAGGGTAGGTGCAGGGGAATGAAAAGACAGTAAGTTGTAGGAGAGAGAGAAAATACTTTGGCGGAATAAACGTGACCAGGTAACAAGCACTGAGAACATTTTAATATAAGGGTTATTCTGTGTGTCAAGAAAAGGAATGTTAGCAAGTACCCCAAACCCCAATTTTCAGACAATATCTTTTTTACGTGGAATGATTCTGAGTAATGGGAATAAATGATTTACAGTACAATTTGCTTAGGGATGGCTTGTAACAAGGTACCTTCTGAAACGGTCTATGCTGTGTAGAGGTTGTAAATGACAATGAAAACAATGGAAAATGACTACTAAAGGCTTTGTTATAATACAGTTTTCAAAAAGCTTTTGATAAAAAGTTCTTCCTTTTTTTTGTATATGAATTATGGAGTACCATCATCAATAACTGCACATCCAGACTGCAGCAGAAATAAACCTATCTCAATCTTGAATGAACAACAAAGAAGTTGAGAGGTATCACTTCACATAAGCTTGCTTTTCATGATGATGTAAAATGTTTTTTAATATTCTAGAGAGGGTTCATCACCAAAAAAAGCACACAATCCTTGAAGCCTTAATACTTTTAGCTCTATGAGATTCCACTAAGATTACTGTCATCATAAAACACCTACTTTTTTTTTCTGTCTTAAAATATATATCTCCAAAAACTGATCTAGAGATTTAGAATGACAATAGTTTATTAACTATTTAGCACTTCTCTAAGATAATTCCACCTTAAGCTTCTGAGAATGGAGCTGCCAGAACTATAAAAGGCTGCAATTTCCAATATTTTTGCCTAATCAAATTATGGGAGCAAACTATTAATGTTTTACTTACCTCCTAAATTCATTCCAGCTTGCAGACATTTCTGTAATCGACAAGCTGGGCAGTTCTTCCTCCGAATCTTATCAATTATACAGTCGTTCCTTCCCGCACACAGATAATTGTGCTGCCCTGAATAAAACAAAACCAAAACACATTATTAGAGCATGCTTTTAAATAATTCCCACATATTAACTGTATTGTTTGCTTTGCAGTCATTTGGTGTGTCTTATTAATGCACAAATTCTCAATTTCACTCTTTAGCCTTCCCAATACCTTGGTGACCCTTCCTTGTTTTTAATCTGAGCCTCTTCTCTGTTTAGGCTTGGAAATTAGGTTTGATGCATCATTCACAAGAGAAATCTCTTCATCACCATCCTCCCAACAGGACTGCCAAGTTTTTGAGTTTTTTTCTTCCTTGTAGAAAAATGTTGGTTCCAGGTTTCTCAAATATTTTTACATGTCCAGCATCACAAAGCGACCTAACAGCTCTTGAAGCTCTGCAGAAAAACAACTGAGAGCTGCTCTCCCGCTAAGCAGCTCACGGTCTGAAGCAGAGGTGCAAAGCAGAGGTCAGCCCTCACAACAGGCTCCATCCTCTATCACCAGGTTACCAAGTGCTTCATTTCTGATTTAGTCAGTTAACCTCTAGTTGAAGATTTCTGAAGAGTTTGCCCAAATAGGTCTAATTCATGACCACAGCAGCACCCCTATGACGACGAGCAGATATTTAATAGACAGCATAGAGCAGAAGGGAAATATCCAGCACAAGAAGGGCAACAGGCTGATGTGCAATAACTTGAAGACTCGAGAGGTATTTTGCCTTATGGGGGGGATAATGTAGGTGGTACAGCAAATGGGTGCAGTGTATCACACAAGGGCACTTACTGTGGGATATTCAAAATAACCTCAAGATACTTGAATTTGATGTGGAAGTGTAAAGGAAGTCACTCAAGGTTAAGCTTGATATGACAATTTCTCAACGTGAAGGAGGGAGATGATTTTAGCTGCCTGTGTCCAGAGGTAGCACAATGGGACCTAACAAGACGCAGAAATCAGTTTGTAGAATTTATGTCAGAGGACAACAAATTTTCCAGAGAGTGATTAAAGGCAAGACCACAGCTCAAAGTATATCGTACTGTAGGATAAGTCACAGGATTTGCTATAATCTGAAAATCAGGAAAATAGTCAAAAGTGAAACACAATGGTAAGTTTCAGGTCTATGTAGCAAGCAAAACAACAACTATCAACTCTTGTGCAAAAGAATTCTAGAGACAATATTAGAAATGTGCTATTCTGTAAACTGAATGCAAGTTGTAATGAAGATGTTTCAACTGCAGGAGGGACAGAAGGAAGCTGGAATTGGCAGTACTGCCACACCGATGGTCATGGAGAGCCTCCTACGCTGATCACGAATGAATGAATGAATGAATGAATCAATCAATGAATAGGCAGCTGTGAAGAAAAGCAAGGCCCATCCAAGCAACATAAAGTTGAGGCTGACTGCCGAGGCAGGGAGCAGCCGGCACTAGCAGGGCAGAGCCTGGACAAGATGCAGAGCCCATCAAGAGATGGAGCCAGGGAGAGCTGCTTTAGAACAAGAGATATAAAATGTATTTGCCAAGATATTTTCCACAATACACAAGTGCTTCCTTAGGGAAATAAAAGAAAATATTCATGACACACAGGAGACCCAGCTTCTATTTTGGGCTCCTTCAGGAATTTGCCTCTGAACTTCAGATAAGTCATTCTCTATCTCTGCATCTGACTTCCTTTTACCCTTGGCCGAAGTCACCTATGCGGCCAGTGAGCTCCAGTTTGGGCTCTTTCCTGCCCCTCTTGGCCGCGTGCCCTGCGCAAAGCGAGGCGGCCGCTGCCCCCGCGCCAACCCCACGGCCACCCCGCGCGGTGCGGAGCGGAGCGGCGCGACGCGGGAGGCGCCTGAGCAGCGACAGGGCCGGCGACGCAGAGGCCCTCACCTCGCGCCGCCACACGGGCCTGAGCGGCCCGAGTGAGGCCGGAGAATTCATGCTCCTGAGTGCATAAAGTCCTGCCAGAATAGAACAAATCAAGTTGCATAATGTACTGACAGCATTAATATCTGCTAGCTGATCTTTGAGTAGGTCTGTTCAAACAGGAGCAAGAAAATTCTCAGCTAGTCACAAACTAAAAGCCTGCTTGTCCCGTAACATTTAGTGTACTAATTAATCTGTACAAAAACAGATGTCTCACAAGAAATAAAAAGTACTTCAATCTTACTATTTACCTTTTTACTTAGTACTAACTTGTGCACCCACATCTTCTACAGACAAACATAAAACTGAAGTGGAAGACGGAGTGTCTGAAGTACTGCTACACAACATAAAGAGGGTGTACACAGCATTAAAGACACTGGTACCTGGGCTTTTATAGCATCTTTTGGGGGCACAGGAGAGAAGCGGGTCTTTTCTGCAGGGAAGGCAGGCAGGCTGGCGCTGCTCGCGCGGTGTCCTTTGCACATCGCGGAGTGCTGCAGTACCATTTTTAGGCTTTCACAGGCGGGTGCAGGCTATTAATAAGACGAGGCAGCTCTAATGCTGCAAGCGAGCCCCGTTGCAGCGCGTGCCCAAAGGCAGCTTGCCCTCCGAGGCCGCACACCTGCGATGTCAGCCCTCCTCATCGCTGCGGTCACAAACTAAGGGGTTCAAAAAAAGGGGGGGAACACTGAGGTCCTCTAGGACAGCTACTTGTGTCACTTCCGTAAATATTGTGGAAATGTGACTTCATCGCTGTCACACCATGACTTCTTAAGAAATATTCCCACTATAGCAGAATGCCTCTCTCAGTCACATTTCAAATGGTTTAGGTAGTCTGCAATTATTACTTTCGAGCCTACATATCCTAGGTTCAATATTTACAGGAAGCATCGTTTAGCAAAGGTTCATCCGTTTTTGAATCATATCTCTGAATACTACCATATGGTACAAAATCTGTAAGTAGTCTTTCTAGTAAGCATAGCATTTTTTTTAGTAAGCAAATGTTTTCTGTAGACCAGACAGTTACTGAGTATTTTTTATTTCTTAAAAAAAAAAAAAAGACATCTTAAATACCCTTAGAAAGCAGAATAAATCAGCATGTAGACAACCACCTGATGGGTAGTGCAGATATGTAATACTGAAGGACAATAACTTTTCAGTTTAAAAGTTTATTCTATCTCAAAAAAAACCCCTAGCTTCAGATTTCCATGCAACCAGAACATAGTTTGTTTTGATTATAATCAATGCCGTACTGCAAGTCAGTAAAGCGAAGGTGCCCATGATGAATATTACTACAAAAGAACCAATCTTTCATAAAAGGAAGCATCTCCCTTTTACTTCTCCCAAGCCTCCCCTCTGGGTTTACAGAGCCAACACAGAGATCCCTGCAGCGGAGCAGAGGGGCCCCCCGCTCCGCCCCGGCCGAGGCTGCTCTTCTTTGGCGGCCAGATCCCGAGTCCTTGCAAGCAGCACATCCACCCAGTTGCATACCTCATGCTTAGTCTAATCCAGTTGCTCTTTCTGTCTAGTTTAAGTATGCAAAAGTGGGCTGAAAAGTGATGGAGTAGGCATCAAATTCTCATCTCCCATGTGCTGGAGCGTTAAGGAGAAAGCAATTTTTACATATGCCATCATAAATACAAGGTAATTCCCATTCCATCCAAAATAAATAGTTAGAAAAGATGCCAGGAAAAATTCCTGTTCAAAATAACTAAGTACTACATAGTTATACACTAGAAAAAGAAAAAGATCTGTCATATTCAGAGTATTTCAGTTGTATATGCCACAGAATGGCATACACTGATGCAGAGCCCACACAAAGGTATTTCACAGGTGAGGTAGTTGAAAACAGTTGCAGACTTATTAGTTCCCCAATATGATAAACTTATGACAGAAAACAAGAAGGAAGCACTCGTGAAATCCAATCTTTCCTCTTATTACATTATTTTGAACAACAAAATTCATAAAATCCAGCAGTAAAGGAGAGGACATGAATTACTGCCACAGTGAGGCTGCAACCTGCTGGAGAAGCTGTGCCTGTCCCCACGTTAAAAATCCAGCTTAATAATTGAGCCTCTGCTCCTAGAAGCTGCTTTGCAAACATGAGCATGCAGAGTGTTGCTGCATGCTTTGTATCTTCATACACATCAATCTGCAAGAGAAATGGGGTCTAGAAATTTATTTCTTGCCAGAAATATTTTAATCACCAAGACAAAATCTGTAAATTGCAGACGTTTGTGAAATAAACCACATATCTCACATATATCTTAGTCTCTCTCCTAAAACTCATTTTTTTTTTCAGTTTTTCTAAGTCTGTCAGGAACTGCAAGCAATTAATGGTCCTCCTGCATTTCTGCTCTCTTGCTAAAATAGCAACCCCCTATCATGTCCAGAAAACATTAAATTTTGTAAAAGAAAGCTGATAAAACAAAGAAATAGAAGTGCAATGCTGGAAAAGGAAGCAAAGTTCATGTCCCCTGTACAGAAGCAAGATAAGGCCATTCAAGCAGTTCAGACAAGTGCTTTTTTTTCCCCTCTAAACTTGTTTTAAAACTTTCTAAAGAAAAAGCTTTGGCAACTTTTTGACAAAGCGCCTCCTACCTCTTTGCTAGCCTGCAGGTTGGGGTTTTTCTCCCCCTTGGTGCCTACACGATGTCCAGCCCCCCTTCCAGGGCCAGACACATAAAGCCGTAGATCAGCGCCTTCCTTGCAGCCACTGGACACTTATTGAAAGATTTATGTTCCCCATCTTGTGGCTAGACTAAACAAATCCAGTTCTCGCAATCTTTCCTCATAGGTCATGTTTTCTAAACCTGTCGTCATTCTTATTATTCTTTTCTGGTCTCTTTCATAAAATGTAGTGACGAAAACTGGGCTCATTTTTCTAGCTGAGCGTCACCATCACCGAGTCAAATAAAATCGCTGCTTCCTGCACCTCGCACACAACCTTCCTGCTAATGCAATCCAGAGGCAGCTTTGTCCCTTGGCAATCGCATTGCGCTGTTGACTCAGAGCCCTTTGCTCTGCTCTCACATCCAGTTCCGCTCCAGCAGTGCGGCCATCCCGCCACTTTGCATCCAGAAAAGGCTTCCCCCGTTATCCGAGGAGTCAGTTCCC